AATTGTAGGTATTCAGATATAATTTTAAAATATTTTATTTGCTTTTTAACTTTCTATCATTTATCCAATGAATATTTATTGAGCATTATAATTTGCCAAGTACTCTTTTAGGTGCTGAGGATCTAGCAGCGAACAACACTGGCAAGGTCCTGCTTTCATGGACCTGATGGCCTACTGGAGGAGACAGACAATAAGTAGAGAAACCAAGGAAAAGATTCATTTGGCAGGTGCTTATAAGGGAACAGCTCTGCCGTGGACATCTCCACATAGGCCACGCAGACAAGGTCAACTGCAGCCTGACCCAAGTCTCACAGGAACTCCCTGTGACCCTCCCAAGAACATGGTAAGGTGAGCAGCCTTGTGAGGAGCTGTCCCAAAGCCGTTTGTTACCCACCTCCTGATCTTGTGGAGGCCGCTATGAGGCAGTTTCTCAACCACCTCCCTGTTTCTGGTAAGGCATGGAACTTTCAACCTTGCCTCCGCACTTCAGAGTACAGCTACAGAGGCAGCCAGTTAGGTCAGGTGGTTAGAGCGCAGTGCTCATAACACCAAGGTTGCCGGTTCGATCCCCACATGGGCCACTGAGGTGCGCCCTCCGTAACTAGATTGAAACAACGACTTGACTTAGAGCTGATGGGACCTGGAAAAACACACTGTTCCCCAATTTAAAAAAAAAAAGAGTAGAGCTGCAGGCTACAGAAGCATTTAGCTGGAGCATGGAGCCAGCTCTTCCCCCACAAAGCAACCCACCGCTTGTGTCATGTCCTCTCTGGTTTGGTGTCATTCTGTGGGACTGACATCATGATCCTGCTTATGCTAAGTAATAAACCATGTGTATTCACTTGGGCTTTCTGTTTCCTTCCCAGCCGAATCGATGGCAGAGTGGCAAGACCCACCGAGTAGCTGTCATAGCAGCCACTTAGGGACTGCTGGACTACTGGACAGTGCTAAGGCCACTGAGGAAACTATCACAGAGGTAATGTAGGTTGAGTGGCTTTGAGGAGGTTAGACAGGGAGACCGGGAAGGGTTCACCACGGTGATACGTGAGCCGGCCAGGTTCGCCCGGGGATTCGAGTGATAGGCAGAAGGGACAGCAGTTACAGAGGCCACCAGGGCAAGGGGGGATTGGCAGGCTCAAGGAATGGAAACAACAGTAGCATGGGTGAAGTGAAGTGAGCAAGGCAGGGAAGGGTACATGAAGTTTGAAAAATGGGCAGTTTATACATGGGCCAAAGGAGAGCTTGACTGTTCAAGTGTTAAGCAGGCATGTGATATAATCTGAAACACACTTTTCAAAGATCATTTTTTTAAAAAGAGTAAACAGAGAGGACCCTAACTGCAGTGTGGGGGCTGAACGGGAACGGGGCAAGAGCAGAGGCAGGGGGAGCAGCTGAGAGGCTCGGGCAGCTCCAGTGAAGGTGGTGGCAGACACAGAAGGGGAGTGATTCCGGGGCTTGTGACACAGCGGCAGCCAGGGTGCTGGGAGCGGAGAGGTGGGAAGAGTCGGTTACCAGCCATTGTAAGGACTTTGGCTCTCACTCCCAAATGGGGAGCCACGGGAAGGATTTGAGCCAAAGAATGACTCAATCTGACTAACATTTTTGTTAGGATCACTTTGAGAGATCCTAAAGTGATCTGTGTCAGTCAGGAGATGGGGGCTAATGACAGAGATCAGGTGGAAGGCTACCACAGTCTTCCAGAAAACAAATGCTCGCCAATTTGTCCATGGCAACCTGCCCTCCACTGTCTTGGCAATGGAACCTCTGGGATGGTCTCTTCCATTAAATGTGATGTGAATAAATGAATGTACATAAAGCACTTAGCACAGCATCTGACACATTAAACGAATTCAATAGTGGTTATTAGTGGCATTGCCAATTTTATTCCTGGAGCCCATGTACCTACGTGTAGAACAGCTCTTAAGAGGTTCTTGTGCCTTTTAAAAATGCAAATCAAATCTTTTCACTCCCTACTTAAAAACCCTCAATGCCTTCCCGCTGGAACGCAGAAATTCCATACCGCTTGCCACAGTCTACCAAGTTGTCCATCGTCGGGCCCTGGCCTTCCTCTACAGTCTTCGGTCCTAGCACTCTCCTGAATCACAGACACATTGCCTTTCCTTCTCTCCCTCCAACACCTCAGGTGGTTTGTCAGGACAGAAAATAACAAACGGAGCCACTTTAAAATGGAGCCAGGGCTGCCGGCCCAGAGGAACTGCCTTGCACATCTTATGCCTCAAATCTCTGGAATGTTAAAACAGGGCAAAATAAGCTTTGGACTGAACCTAAAGCAAACCCGTGTCCCAAAGAACTGTTTGCAAAGATAACAAGAAAGCAGATACAAGACAGATGACTACCAGACTGAAAATTAAAAACATTGTTTAGAATTAATTAACATCCCTATGTTTATGTTGTCTGTACCTATAGAAATGCCTGCCTTCTGTTGATGGAATCATTCCCCTTCCCCTTCTCATAAATACCCCTTGCCTTTGTCTCCTAATTGGAACATTACTTGGGCTTCTGCCTGAATCACTGCTTCCCAAATAGCTACTCTTTGATCTCAAATAAATGTTCTTTGCCTCTCACTTTGAAATGCCTTTTATCTTTAGATTAACTGTCACCATCTCAGCACCTTTGCATTTGCTATTCCTGCTGCAAGAAACTCTCTACTCCTAGCTCTTCATGTGGCTGGTTTCCTATCCACTCAAAGATCAACCAAGACCTTCCCTAAACACCTTATCTAACATATGGTGCCTACTCGTCCCCCAATCCCCAGCATGCTTCAGTCTGCCACTATTTGAAATTATCTTGTTTACTGTCCATTTGCCTAACTACAATGAAATCTTCATGAACCCAAGAACCTTGCCTGTCTTTCCCAGTACCTGGCACACACAGGGTGCTCAGTGCATTTCTAGAATCTGGAATGTAGGGAAGGATATCAACTGATTAACTTTCTAAGCTAATGAATTAGAATGATAACCCAGATTATCCATAAATATTTTATACATGGAATTAAAATGGGAACCTACCTATATTTACAGGTATGATACACATATAATACTCTGACCATTCACAGTTTAGGAACACATGACGGGTTCAACACTTATGAATTTTCCAAGTCACTAAAGCTCACCTCCTCTTTAAGCACCAACATTCCCTTGGATGGTCATATTCCTAAAACAGATTCCATACTTTCCTATCTCCTAAAATCACACACCTTATTATACAGGGTTGCAATGAAAGTGCAACCCTTAGGGATTACTGAGGTGTGACATTCATGGCCATTTGCTCCTAAATCACTAAATGGCCCCAGGAGGCTATAGCTTTTTTCTTGTACTTTTTCTCTACCTTGACAGGCTGTTATTTTGAAAATCACTGCTGCTCCTGTCAGTATCTCCCTTCCCCCATCTTATAAATGGACTATGCCTGTTGAAAATTGGTGAAACAAATAAAATTATTAGAAGTGTATGTCTCAAAAGCAGGGTAAGGTAGGTCTGAGGAGAGTTCTTATGAGAAAAGTGCATGAGCCCCAGGAGATTCCTTCCTGGCTGTTAGCTGGGTTTCTTTCAGAGTTTGCCAAAAAGTAAAACATTACTTAACCATAAACTAAGAGTTTTCGTGAATCAGAAGGGGAAACAGTTCAGTTTCTTCATATTATAGCAAGAATCAGACAGATTTTGGGTTAAATCCCTGCCACTTACTAGCCATGCACCGAACTTCTCAAAAAATTCTGGTTTTAGCAGCAATTAATGTTTATGGAGCATTTGGTATGTCCCAGGTCACTGACCTATTTTACCTGTGCTATCACATCTAATTAAATCTTACAATAAGCCTGTGAAGGAGACAGTGTTATCCCCATTAGGCAGTTGAGTAAACTAGTTCCAAAGTTAAATCACTTGGTGTCACATAGCTAATAAGCAAAGGTCAGGACAGTCTAACCCAGAGCTCTTAGCTATTCATTCATTCAACAACAATCTGGGCTCCTACTATCTTTGAGGCGCTAGGGAAACACACATCAGTGAACAAGACAGATGGAAATTCTTGTCCTCCTTACGGAGCTTACATTCTAAGATGTGGAGGGGGAGACAGTGAGCAATAACTATAAATGTACATGATACAGCATGGCATTAGGTTACGCCACTCAAAATTGCCAATAGCCAACTATTCGTACCTACAAAAATGGGCATTTCATATTGTTTAACCTAATAGAAGGTGGCAAGTGCAACTGAAAAGAGGGGTAAGGAGGCTGAGCAGTGGGAGGCAGGGTGGTAGCCGGGGAGACCTCAGGGAGGTGACAGGTAGGGGGGAGAGGAATGAGGAGTTATCTCGGATTCTACACTCACATGTGGTAACTGACACGTACCTCAACCTCACAGCACGTTATGAAGATCAAATGAGACAATGACAGTGAAAGAGTTTTGTAAACTAGGAAGTTGTAGGACTGTAACAAATTATTATTTTAAAGTTCCCTACTTTGCTGCTGGGAATTACAGCAAACTTTTTAAGGCATAAATAGAGCTAGAGGCTCACAAGGTTTGCTAGTCCACTCCTTACCTGGTGCAGAGAAGCAGTTAAAGAGTTTTTTCTCATTTAAAACTTTTCTTCCTGCTCTCAGAAAACAAAAGGTTTTGTTGTGGTTGTTTTTCAGTCAATAAAGTATTATCTACACAAAGAAAGTAACAGTGCATGTCTGGAAACAAACTGTTGTGATGCAGATGAGACAGCAATCTCGACAATTTCCAACAGAAGCCCAAGAGAAAGCTATGTTATTTTAGCACGGTAAAATGTAATAAAGTATATCATGTGTCCAAAATTTAATGTCTCCGAAGTAGGTAAAAATTTCCCTAGCTCCACTAACCCACTCTACTAAATAATCATTATTCGCCGTGCTGGGTAAGGATTAGAATTAAACTAGCTACTAAAACTTAATAGACAAGGAAAAGGTAACGAAAAGAAAACTACCCTAGGTTAATTTGTAGAGAAATGATAAGTATGCATAGTTTCTTTTAAAGAGACAGCCTTTATTCTAAGGATTTTTACACTGAAGAATTCAAAAAGTGGTAAAGTATTTGGAATTTATTGAATTGCATTTAAAATGAACTGTTAACAAAGATTCACCAGAAATAAACTGAACAAGCAGGAAAATGTAGTTAATAATACTGAAATACTGCTAAAAATAATTCCAGAACATATGGTTTATCTAACCTAACACTATCTCTTAGCTGTTATTGATATGAAAACTGACTGCTTCTTACTTTTCTAAACACATAGTGGTATAATTAACAATATTTAATCACTTCTGTTCTTTCCTGAATATATAAAAATTAAAATACCAATTAAAAAACTAATATATCTTCTCTTTAAATGTTTCTTAGAGATACAATTTCAATATTTCATTCAGTAGTGGTGTGGTTTAAGAGATTTTTTTTCATTCACAAGTCAAACAACAATCCACCTAAAGGGAACTGATCGTCTATAAGTTCATAGTGCAAATAAAGAGTTCAGGAATGCAGCAACTGACATTTCTAAAATACAAAACAGATAAAATTCTTAGAAGATACATGCAATAAAATCTTATTAAGCAGCTGGCCACAGAACTAGAACGTTTGGTAACTTTACTGGTGACTTCAATGGAACTCCAAGTGTTTCCAAACTCAAGTTGAGCTCTCATCTCAGGCTTTGTATTTTGCTTTTCCAGTTTCACTAATAACACAAACATGCTAAAAAATAAAAATCCAGAAAATCATATTAGAAAAGTGTATTCTGAGAAAGGCAAGAACAGCACTTTGCATATCTTATATAAATAGTATTATGCTGCAGGGTTTTTTACTAAACAAATAAAGGTTTGTGCAGTTTTCCTAATCTTCCTCACCCATGGTCATAAATGCATTCTCAGGACTCCCACCTCCAGAGTAGGAGGCAGGTATTTGAAGGAGAGTGAATTAAAAGACTTCAACTAGTTCATTTATTTCTTACTTAGGACCACATCTATCGTCTGAAGTAATAATAGGACAGTTAGTGTATATTAAAGCTGCCCAACTGTTTCAGCCAGCAAGAAGTGTCACCCTAGCCTGGCCAAGTTCCAGCTCTAAGGACGTCTGTACTTGACTACAGCTTTATGTGACTAAAGGGAACCATCAGTCTGTTCAAATTATGAGGTGCTGGAAAAAGAAAACAATTCTTCTCTTTCGTAAATTTTTATGTGTTCTGAAAAATGAGAGTGAGAAAAAGAAGCTTTACTTACATTCAAATCCCTGAAGTATTCATTATAGTCAAGGGCATATCCTACAACGAACTTGTCTGGAATTTCAAATCCAACAACTAAAAAGAATCATAATTCATCATTTAGATACAGAAAACATCACTTTTAAATCAAATACTTGCAAATGTGCCTTCTCTACAAATACTCTCCAAAATAACTCTAAGCCATTTCATATAAAAGTTGTTTAGATTAAAGATGGTTAAATAATTGACAAAAAGTAATTTACTTACAGTCTGGTCTATATCCAACACTTCGAGGGGTCCTTTTTACCAGCAAACTGTTAATTACAAAATGTGACATATGATATATATACAGAGACACTACAGGTCATTACAAAAGAGAACATCAGTGATCCAAAACAGGGTTGCATCTGCATTTAGTATACTATGGTCAGTTTTAACATACCCAAACAAAAGGCAGTGAAATGGAGAGCTAAATAAATCAATCACAGGGATCACTGGGCAGGGGCAGTGAGGAGTTCACGCTACAGACAAGGCCCTTGATTGATCTCTACCTGGAACACGGTGGACTGTTCTGAGAGCTGCACCCTGACTACCCACGCACCCATCGAAGGACAGTTAATCAGGAGGATGAATGGGTGGGGAGTCCCAATGAGCAAAGAAAAGATAAGGGCTCTCAGTCCAGAATCCCTGGAAACACAATCCCTAAGCCACAGAGGGTGTGGGAGAGGTGAGCATCACCTTTCAAGGCTTTCAACACTTGGTTTACAAAGAGGAACTTTAGGCTAAAAAGTAACTAACTGCTAAAGGAGCTAGTATTTATTTTTGAGAGCAAAAACTACAGGTAGGATGAGTCAACTCTAACAAAAGCTAATTTTGTAACTCAGGCGCTGCCTGCTGAAATTTTTTAGCCATTAAAAAAGCTGTGGATGATGCTTTGAAAGCCTTTATATATGTTAAAGGCAGTCCCAATAAAACTTATGATTTCATACCTTCCTAGATAAATATTTTTAAAGAGCTGAGAAGGACCTAAAGTGATTCTCAACTTTAGCTGCACATTAGAATCAACTTGAGAACTCTGAAAAAAAAAACCTCAGATACCGAGGCCACACCCCTGACCAATGATATCAGGGACACAGACATAGGTTTTTGTTGTTGTTGTTTTTTAAACTCCCAGGTAATTCCAACGTGTGGCCGAAGTTGAGAACCACTGGCCTAAGCCTTAGCCTCCAAGCGATCATCTATTCAAGTCCCTCATGATTCTCTTCCAGTACTTAAGACAGAGGATATGCTTGGGCTCAATTTCTATTTAGAAAGAAAAAAAAAACACTCACAGCAAAACCCGTTTCTCTACCCACACTCACGCAGCAACACTCCAGAAAAGGTATCATCAAACTCAGTGGAAGTTATACTAAGAGTTCAGGGGAACTCGGCACCTCATACGCCTATAGATCTGAATGTTTAATAAAGCTCCATCTGTAAGGCATGATTGTAACTCATTTTGGAAGCAATTTCAATATTTTAAGTGGGTAACCACTCCAGAGAAGATATACAAATGTTCAATAAGCAGATGAAAAGAATCTCAAGATCATATCAGTCATCAGAGAAATGCAAAATTATTTACAAAGGATACTACTGAGTCTTACTTGAGATTACATGACTTTTTGAAGATAAAATGACCACTAAGAACATTTACCCTTACAAAGAAGCAATTACTGAGAGCATTTGAGATCTTGCTCCTCAGCATATGTTGTTAGTTTCGGCTCAAACAAACTCATAAAAATTCAAACAAAAAAAAGTAATTACTCAATCCTATTTCAAATGAAGAAATTATCCTATGACAAAATGTTTCTCTCTCTCTCTCTCTCTCTCTCTCTCACACACACACACACACACACACACACACATACATACCTTGCAACCTTGACCATCTTTGGATTATGCTGCTTGACCAGGGAAAGCAAGGTTTGCATTGTTTTACCAGTGTCAATTATATCCTTTTAAAAAAGAAAAGATATTTAAATGGTAAATAAAACCATCATAGCTTTAACTTCAGTCATTACATAAACACAAAATACTCACACCCCACGTATAACTGGAATATTGCCATTTTCTTTTCAGTGCCATAATTCTCACCACAATTCAAACACTAGATATTCTAGAAACTGTGAATCTAGCTCTCAGCAGGCAGTAGGAATGCCAGTCCTCAGGACTGGATTTTGTAGGCACCAAGGGGTCAATGACAACTAATTTAAATATATATATATATGCAAGTGTGTACTTGCATGCTTATCAGAGACTTATGAGGCTGCCCTTCATTACAAAAGGTATTTTAGATTTTTTTGTAAATTGAAGATTGGGATGCTGTCCCGCTGCAACTCTCAGATGCAGGTAGTTAACAGACCACAACTCGAGAGACCCTGTTTTATACCATCTTAAAAGTCTCCAAATTAATAAGGTTCGACTATATAAAATGTCTCTACATGAAAGTTAATCTTAGTTATTTAGTCAAAAGTAGGACATTATTCAAAACAAACTCATCTCTAATTGGGAAAATATATCTAAAACCATAATCTTAATGCTCTTTAATGAAAATACTCTGCTCCACAAAGTGGGGTCTGTGAGTCATCAGAAACATCGGGGCTGCAGGTCTGTGAAAAATGCAGATTTCTGGGCAACGGTGGACAGAATTCTGATGCCTCCCAGACACTCCCGCCCCCTGGTGTACACATCAGGAATAGTCCCCTCCAGCTGAGTGTGAAGAGGAAACTGCAAAAACGATGGGATGGTCACTCCTGTGATTAGGTTATGTTGTACACGGTAGTGGTACCAGACTGGAGAGGGATTCTCCTGCTGGTTTTGAAGAAGTCAGCTGCCATGTAGAGGCCCATGTGCTAGGACATGAGAATGGCCTTTAGGAGCTGATGGCAGCCTCTGGCCAGCAGCCAGCAAGAAAACAGGGCCCTCAGTCCTGCAACCACAGGAACCAAATTCTCACAACCTGAATGTACTTGAAAGAGGACCATAAGCCACAGGTGAGACAGGAGTCCCAGCCTTGATTTAGCAAGATGAGACCTGAAGTAGAGGACACAGCTAACCTCTACTTGGGCTCCCGACCCAAGGAAACTGAGATAATAAATGGGTATTGTTTTAAGCGGTTAAGTTTGTGGGAATTGGTTAGGTAGCATTACCCCAGACAAAACAAATCAATCTAAAATGGAATGACTGAATCTACAGTTTAAGAAAGCAACTCATTCCCAGGGATATTCATGCACACAAACCCTTTGAAAAGAGTGTTATTGATTTTTTAATCTAAAAGCTGGTTTCTAAAAACCCTTAAAAAATTGGGGGTTACTGTTGCTCTTAAACCTTAAACCGTTTAACATAAAAGAATGAGAACTCAGTCCATTAGTGGGAGTATAAAGCATACATCCAACTACTTTGATAAGTAATTTGGTAATAATAGTAAAATTGAAAACGTACAAATTCTACAACCCATTTATTCTACTTCTAAGTGCCTGTGTCTAGAAGGAACTCACACATTTGCATGCAAGGACATGAAAGGGATGCTCTTAGCAGCCCTGTTGTAGAAGGGAAAATTGAAAGCAAACTCCCTATTTGCAGGGCAATAAACTGGTTGATTCTTACATTGTAATGCTATGTCGCATTTTAACTAACTCTATATGTGTCAACACGAATAATCTCTAAACCAATTTTAAGTGAAAATAACAAGTTGCAAGAGAGAATATGTATAGTGTGGCACTATACAAATTTTAAAATCACAGAATATATTTTGTACATGGATATATAAGTGCAATAGAAGTATAAAAAATACACATGGGAATAATATACATCAACTTTAAAAGAAAGAAAATAATTTCAAGACAAAAAAGAGAGGGGTAAGAAATATACCAAATTTTTCCATTATCCAATAAAATAAATTACAAGCTATTTTTGACCCCCCCCAAAAAACTATCTCACTCCCTTATTACACAAACCCACCATTAAAATTGATGAAGAAGAATTACTTTTCCTAGCTTACCTTTATGACTGTGCATATTAAGTTAGAAAATCATAAACACTATATTAAAACTATGTAGAACTTACTTCAACAATCAAGACATTCTAGGAGAAAAAGAGAAATGAAAATCAGTACAAAGAAACAGATAATGTTTCTAATTATATCTCAAATCACACCATAACAAACACTAAGGAATTTTTGTTTTAAGATACTTTACTATATCAAACCTTGATTTAAACAAGTGGGCCATCTGTTGGGATTTGGAACTCTTTAATATATAACATTTTCACTGCAATGAAATTTTTAAAAATAAAAATAAAAATAAAATTTGACCTATAAACTCATTTAAAAAAGAGTTTTATTACTTAAAAGGAGGTCTAAACTTGGGCAAGTCATGAAATTTCTCCGAGCCTCAGTTTTCCACGTGTAAAATGAAGGACTTGAACTAGTCTAATGTGTCTTCCAACTCTAAATTTTAAGAACTATAATTTGGACAATAACTCCAAAATCATGCATTTGACTTACCTTATGGAATCCAGTTCAAAACCCAATTTCTCATTAGGCTGAAACTGAAGCATTTTCTGGATGTGTTCATATTCTTGGACTGAACTAAAGAAAGATATCAATCTTTGCTTCCTCCTACCATAAACCCTCACCCCAATTTCTACTTCTCAGAATTTTATAGCTGGAAGAACCCTTACAGCAAATACCATTTAACGATTACCTCCACGACAGAGAAAAGTCCTATCTATTCTTGTGCTAGTTGTAGGAATAAGGTAGCCTTTCACATACTGGTTTTAATCATTGTGACAAAAAGATCCATGCTATACTGTTTATTTGTAGTTCTTATTTCTCTGTACCTATAGCATCAGAATTTTAACGTTGTATGTATTCTTCTAAGTCAGTAGTTCGGAAAGTAAGGCACAGAAGATCCACTGGGTTGCAAGAAAGAAATATTAAAACTTTTTAAAAACCTCACTTTGTATAGATTATAATTTTACATGTATTTTACAATATACATATTACTACCACAGTTCCTATTTAATTTACTCCTCTCTTCATATCACAACTAATTTGTCTCTTTCAAAAGATACTGCAGTCTAAATCTTTTTTTTCCCTTTTTTTTCCATTTTTCTCCTTTTTTTATTAAAGTTTATTGGAGAGACAATCGTTAGTAAAGGTACATAGGTTTCAGGTGTACAATTCTGTAGCACATCATCTATATATCACATTGTGTGTTCACCACCCAGAGTCAGTTCTCTTTCCATCGCCATATATTTGATCCAGTCTAAATCTTTAGGAAAAAATGAATGTAATCAATTAACAAGCCAATAATTGTTTCACGGCCTACTATGTGGTTCTTTTTCAACATTTTCTCTACCCTAGCTAGCACATCTGAAGGATAACATTTTCCCATCAGTAACTGTGGCTCGCTGATGCAGCGATTTGCACCACGGGATGGAATTATAGTTTGAAAACAGTACTGAATTATGAGACAGAGTAACTGGATTCTAGTCATGGCTCTAATACTAAGTAGCTGTATAATCTTGATTAAGTCATAATTATAGACTTTTAGTTGTATGAGACAGTTTATACAAATCAAAGTCCAGAGACATTAAATATCTGTCCAATATAAAATTCTAGTATCTAGAGTATGATCTTATTACTGTTTTAAAAATAAAATTAGAACTGCTACCATTATTTTTTTTTAATTTTATTTTATTGGGGAACAGTGTGTTTTCCAGGACCCATCAGCTCCAAGTCAAGTAGTTGTTTCATTCATAGTTCTGGAGGGTGCAACTCAGTGGCCCATGCAAACCAGAAACCTTGGTGTTATGAGCACTGTGCTCTAATGAACTGAGCTAACTGGCCACCCCTGCTACCATTACTGAGAAATTATTTTATGTGAAATAGCTACATCCTTAATAAAAGAAAAAAAATGAGGCTCAGAGGTCAATCAACAACTTGCCTAAAGTCACAAAAACAGCCAAATAAGATTTGATGAGGTGTTTGCAGGGTCCAAAGCCCACATTCTCATCCACTGACTGCAAAAGGGTGGGGATACGTATGTACGTACGTACGTACGAGGTGTGCTCAAAAACATAACTTCATCCAATTTGTGTCTTTTTTTTCCACAATAAATGTGCTTTCCTGTGACTATCATAAAAAGAAAGTTATTTTAGAAACAGAGACCTTTTAAGATCACAGATCTGCATAGTGGGACAGAGCCATTAGGTGGGAAAGGCAAGGTCATATAAAACCACAGAAGGTGAAGGCTAGGCCCCTCCCAGCACTAAAAGCTGACTGGAGGAGAAAGGGTTTCAGATGACTTCTAAATAGGGGCAAAGCATGCTGAAAGGGAAGATCAGGTCTGGCAATGGTATACAGGATGGACAGGGAGGGGAAAGAATCAATAGATGATCATTTCTCCTTTGAAGTTTTCCAAAGAAGTGGAGGTGGCCATTAGATTGGCATGACCACAGAATTTGACACAAATGCCACATAATTTGACATGAGTGCTGTATATTGAAGTTTCCTTACAGATACTCAGTCAGGTAAGCTGTAAACATTATATGTAAAAGCCAGACAAAGAAAAGAGCTTTGGAGCCTGGCAGACCTACATTCAAACTCAAGCTCTACCACTTACGGGCAATGTGACTTTGGACAAGTCCTTTAATCTTGCTGAGTCTTACTCTCCTGATCTGTAAAATGGGGATAATAGTATCTACCTCACGGAACTGTTGTGATACTTTTATGAGATTATGCCTTTATATTTTGCAAAGTCTCTATGTAAAAAAAATAACTGGCAGCTTAAAAAATGTAGCATCCTATCCTTTACTGTTGTTCATTCAAAAATATTTTCATTGTGCCAGAAGAATAACATTCAAATATCTTCATATCTTTATTGGTTCAGCCAATTGTCTATACTGGAAGAATTTTGATGTATTTAAAAAACGCTTTGGAGGGGGGTGGTAGATGAGGGTAAGAGGGATCAAATACATGGAGATGGAAGGAGAACTGACTCTGGGTGGTGAGCACACAATGTGATATATAGATGATGTATTACAGAATTGTACACCTTAAACCTATGTAACTTTACTAACAATTGTCACCCCAATAAATCTTAATTAAAATTAAAACCTCTTTTTGAGATTTCTTAAAATAATAGTATGTTTTTAGTTTGTGTTCTAACTATCATAAACTGCTATAAAAACTCTATGTGCATTATTTCACTTAATCCTCTGAACTCCATGAGGTGGCTGCCATTACCATCCCCACTTTACATATGGGAGACAGAGAGGTTAAATAACCTGCCCAAGGTCACATAGTTAGGAAGTACTGAGCCAGACCTTGAATCAAAGCTGTTCAGCTCCAGCACCCACACTTCCAGCCACTATATTATACTGCTTCTCTATCTTTTAAGAAACTATGTGTGAGTCTATTTTTAAAAAGAAGGTTGTCTTTTTATATACAAATACAAATATCTATCTATCTATCTATACGTATCGGGGGTGCCAAAAAAGGTATACAAGTGGACACTTTGGTCAACGCTGCTCAAGCAGTAGTTCGCCATAATCAGAAGTGTCTGGACACTGATGGTAACCACTCTGAGCACCTCTTGTCATTGCAGAAGTCAAATGTGAGCTGTATTCATCTTTTGTTATCCATATATATTGAGTATTACAATTTTAATACAATTTTCCTTTCTAAAAATGGTATACATTTTTTTGGCACCCTCTGTATATCCCAAATTAGATCTCCACAGCGACAGACAGCGGTACTTGGACTTTTAAGTTTAATGTTGGATTCTGCTGACTCTTTGCTATACAACCTACAGAAAGATATCTAACCCACATTGCTTCCAAGAGTTAAATAATCCTTGTTTAGGTGCATAAATAACTATGTAAACTGCCTCTTAGTGACTGATTGACAGCACAGTGTTACTAATTGACTCTTGGTATGAAGGGCTCTTTTCTTCCCCTTCAAGATACATACCTTTCCAGTTAAAGTTGAGAGATCATCTCCACCAATCACTTTTATGTCCCCTGTTGACTGGTCATTCTGGTAAAAAATATATATATATATTATACATATACAATATATATATCTCATTGTGGGTACACGTACACATTTCATATTATCAAATAGGAACTAGAAGATTTAAGTTAGCTATCTAATGTCACAGTATTATGATATTCTAAGTGATATAAATTATAAGAACTATGTTTCTAGATATGAATGACTACGTAATTTTCAACTACAGATTAGTAAACATTAAAATGTCCTAATTGGCATTACTGATTTGATGCTTTTAAGAGTCGTAAAAATAGGGTGTATCCATTTTCAAGCTGGCAGTATTAGAGCAGTCACCCATCTTCAGTCACAGTAATTTCTGAACCATGAGGGAAGTTATTAGCATGACCGGTGTCTGGTTCTGGCCCTGGACCATTCCTATGAGTCAAGCAAGTTGTAGGGTCTGGTCTATATCACACTCAACCCCAAAGATATTTCCCTGAAAAGTCTAGCCCAGGCCCAGGCCATCTTCAGAAGAGTCTGGGAAAGCAGGTCTGATCAGTAGTCCTTTAAGGCATACCTCTTAGGTTCCCAGTTTTCTGATACCAGAGAATCCATTAGAAACCCCTATAGGAGTTTCAAAGGGGAAAGCTCCACACACACTCTAGTTGGTGGTGATAATGATCAAAATTTGTCTGTACTGGATTCAAGACAAAAAACTGGAGTGAAAACGCAGGTGAACCAAAGAGCTTAGACTTGCCCTACCAGAGAGCAAACCATCTCAAAGCTACAGCAATTACAATAGTGCTGTAGCAGCACAGTGATAGACAAAGAGATCAAATAACAAAATAGAGCACAGAAACAGACCCAGAAATATATGAGGATTTAGTATATGATAAAGATGGTATTTCAAGTCAGTAAGGAGAAGATTAATTATTCAAAAAATGTCTGATCAACTAGTTATGTACTTGGGAAAAATATAAAGTATGATCCCTACCTCACAGCGTACACAAAAATAAATTCCAGATGGATAAAAATCTAAATGTAAAAAATAAAGCCATAAGCAGCAGAATGGAAGAAACAGAATATTTTCACATTCCTAGAAAGGGTAAAAACTGAGGCATGACACGAACCCAAACTGAAAGAAAAGATCTGTAACAAATATGCCCATTATACATGGGGCTTCAACAATAAGAAGCCAATAGGAAAACAGAGAACAAAGATAAATAGACAATTCACAAAAGAGAAGACCATAACATATAAAATACTTAGTTGAGAAACAAATATTATAACAATGTGATTCTACTGCTCACTCATTCACACTGGCAAAACTTAAGCCTGATGATATATGTTGGCAAAAGTGAGAGAAAACAAGCATGCTTGTTGGTGAGAATTCCAATTTACACTGGTAAAACCTCTTTTGAAAGTAATATAGGATTTAAACCTATTAAAATTGTTAAAATTGTAAATATTCATGCAATTTGCCCCAGCAATCCCACTTCTGGGAATCGATGCTACAAAAACACTCAAACCATGCAAAAGTACATACAAGGACATTCACTGTATCAACTGTTTATGAAAAAGAAATATTAGAAACAACCAACATGTCTATTGACAGGGAACTATATAAGTTAAGTCCATCCACACAAAGTAATATCATGCAGCTACAGAAAAGAACCTTATAATGTATCCACACTGAGATGGAACAAAGATAATTAAAAACACCAAGTAGTAGAGCAATATATTGCCTACGAAACCACTTTTGTTCCGCATTTTTAAAAAGTTTATAATAGCAATTACCTCTGAGTAGTGAGAACGGGGATGACAAAACTTTTTACTGTTATATACTTCTATTTTTGTCATATGCTTCTATACATGTCCTTTTTCATGGAGTGTTATTTTTTAAAAACACAAATGGGCCAATACTGTTCAGTGTAGCAACTAAACCTAAGATGTAAGTATGACTTTTGATATTAAAAAAATCCTGAATACTACTTCTCATCTTAAGGAAATTATGCACACCGTTTATTTTAATTAACTTAAAACCCATAGTTTCAAATACAGAAAACTGATTAACAGCAAAAAAAATTGTACAAAAGCTGAAGCTTTCGATAAGTGACTCATACTAAGTGATTTATACTGTAAATCAAGCTAAATAGTGACATCTTCTGTAGAAATTTGGTATTACAATCCAATTCCAACTGACCCTCTTTTACAGAGGAAAGGAGTCAAGATCTGAGAACTGAAAAGTATGGTGACACAAAAGAACCCCTGTGATACAAAGGCTAGAGTGATAGGGTAAGAGACGACAGAACTCCAAGCATTCAAGAAACTACTGTTCCACTAGCATCCAAATCTCCATATTCCTGTTTGCCCTAAGGTTTTTAGCTTAAATAAAATCTCTTCTGGCGCTTTTTTTACGGAAACATAGCCATCCTTTAAACGGAGGCTAATATTCATTTAAGAAAAATATTGCGGGACCGGCCGAGTGGCGCGATGGTTAAGAACTGGCTTGGAATGCCAGACGGCCCCGGTTCAGATCCCACATATGAGGGCCAGTGACACTGCCCTCCACAGCTGAGATGCTGAACAACAGCTCAACCTGGAGCTGGGCTGCCGTGAGTCGCTGGTGACGGCGTAGGCTGCAGCCCCTGTGGCAGTGGGTTGCCATGGGCTACCGTGTGTAGCCAGCAGCCAGCGTGAGCGGCCAGCAGTGGGCGGCCGTCCAGAAGCCGGCGACTGATCTGCCTCGCCCGGGAAGAGCGCAATGATGGTGCCAACTTGGGCCAGTGAAGCAGCGTCCTCCACAACTAGACTGAAGAACAAAAGGACAGCAACTTGTCTATTCCCCTTCCCCAATTCCCCAGCACTGTTCCCTTCCCCCCAATTCCCCAATAAAAAAATAAATAAATAGAAATAAAAATAAATATATATATAAAAAGAAAAATATTGCAGTCCACTGTGCTAGAATACAGGTAGTAAGTGCCCCAATTATATACAAATGGCATCCACGGATCAATTACCCGTCGAGCAGAATTTCTCTCCCTCCCTCTCTTCCTGTGTAGAACGAGCTTCCCACTGTATCCCTGCTTCGTTACAATGCTGAGTGACTCTTATGTGCCTCATCTTGCGATGATGGGACTAGCACGGAAGAGGGGAGTTCCCCTCTCCAGTCCTGGGCTGCTCTTCCTTCCTCTCTACCAACCAGCCCATGTCCTCACTCCTCCCAGCCAGAGAGCCCAAGCTATCCTTAACTCAAAGTGTCACTGTCAACTAACATAAAATTCCCAAAGAAGCCATTTGGGTCTACAAATACATATCCTTAGCACCTGTGTTTCTGTTTTGTCTGCCTTTCTTGAGTCCAGGTGAAAAAATGAAAAGGGAAATGGAAAGGAACTGTGCTTATTCCTATGTGTCTATCACTAGGAATTTTGAAAACCTCTAGGTAGCAACAAGACCTGCAGCTTGGTACAGGAAACGAGGAGAGAAAGCTGTGTGAAAACACATAATGAAGGAGTTGGCAAAAGAACTGCTAGAACAAACAGGATGACACCCTAAGGAGAGGATGCAGAGAGGCCAATCACCAAGGCTGGGGACCCAAGAGGGCAGGACTAGGAGTATTCGTGAGGTAGAAAGTCTGGGCTTGGCATTTAGTGGCATTGCACTATGCAGCTTGCTTTTTGCAGTGAACTTCAGATCATTCTTTCAGGACCCTAGAATTGAGTTATTGGGAAAAAGTAATTCCCTCTACATCCAGCTAGGCCACAAGTCCACCACACTCAATCATGTTTTCTCTTGACGACATAATCTCAATCATCCTTTGCCCTTTAAATGTGTTCCTGTATCCTGATCAAATATCAACAAAAGTGAGCATATTGGAATCATACACTTTTAGAGGTAGACTGCACCTCAGATGAAAAATGGCAGATATTTGATTTTCTAAAATGACATGCAGAAAGAAGTCTGGAAGGATATATGCCCAGATAATAAATGAATTTATTTCACTGTATTTTATGAGTTCTTTTAAAAGAACATATTGCTTTTTAAAAAATAGCTATTACTTTTTTATTAGGTTCAGGTATCAAAAAAAAAGCTATTATAAGTTTAAAAAATATCCCGATGAAGCAGGGCCTTTACAGATCATCTAATCCTGTACTATCCAATACAGTAGCCACTAAGCACATGTGATAATTACTTAAAATTAAATAAAATTTAAAATTCAGCTCCTCTGTTGCACAAGACATATTTCAAATACTCAACAGCCATATGTGGCTAGTGGCTCTGTATTAAACAGCACAAATACAGAATATTTCTATCATCACAGAAAGTTCTATAGCACTGCTCTAATGAAACCAAAGATACCACTTAGCACAATGCAGTACTAGAAAAGATTGAAGAGTTAGTACTGATATTTAATTCTGGTAGTTTCAAGTACACCATCTTCAAACCTTCAGAAGTTATTGTATCCTATCTTTATGCTTTTCATTCCATGTCTGGTTTGGGACCAGGATCTAATAAAATAAACATGTTCAATAGAACCACTTTTCGTGACCAAAGATAGTACCTTCCATACAACAGATGATCAATATGTGTTTGCTGAGTAAACTGATCAGTTTCCTTAATTTGTTACAAAATTTGTGGTTTCACAGGAGCAAACTAGAACACCACCTTTATGTTCTAAAAATCAGAGTGCTTATGTAAAAACCTCAGTTTCCTGGCAAGGACTACATCAAAGTGAAAATCCACCAGAAAGGGCTAGAAAGTGTACTTTTGACCCTAGTTCTGTTCAAGTTTTCTTATACCAGATAGTATACATCCCCGTTCCTGACAATTTAAACTAAACAAATTATTTCCGCCACCCATGTCTATGATCTTAATTCAATAAGTAGGAGAAAGTCATAAATCACTTCACTAGATTTATATACTATAAATAGACACAGATAGATTTACAGAAGATAAGCTTTAGATTATCTAGTGTCAACATCAAAGTGGTACACTTACATTTAACTTTAACTGTTCTGGAGGGAAAAGCATACCTCAAAGCAACTGGCTAAACACAGAGAAAAAGGTCAGAGTGAAAGCTACTGACCTCTTCTTACAAGAGACATTTTAAGAAACTACTGCAATGTTTTCTATATTTTTCTTTAACAAGCTCACTCAAATAGCCACCTTCTTACAAATTACAAAAATTTGCATCCTTAATATATTATTAATAAACAGATAACCTAATCAAGCTACTAATCAAGCAACTTCTAAGATCAAGGTTGTAAGTTACAGCTTTATGAACCTTAACTGTGACTGAGGGGAAAATTCCATAATTGGCAAAATAAATTTTGTTTGCATGCAAAACTTCTGACTAGTAGAGAATGAAGCAACAACAGGAAGCCCATATTAGAGGATCCAAGTCAGCTGAAGGTTCTTCCAAATAAGACTCTTGAGTTCTGCACAGAGTGAAAGCCTGGATTTAAATCAAAGACCTGTACGATCTTAGGCAAGTCATTTCATCCCTCTGCACCTCATTGTTCGCAAATGTACATGGAGATAATAATTCATAACTCAAAAATCAGCCTAATTTTCCCTTTGCTTAAGGCCCACACAAAAATATTCCCACAAAAAAATTTTACTTGTCTGACAACTGTTCCTCCTGAGGCTTCATCATTTTTTAAAAATGATTCTAGTAAAAAATTACTACAAAATTGAACTCACAATAGAGAAATACATTTGCATACCTATCAATTGTTTCATTTTTCAGAGTTTTAGGGATAGAAAAGGTCATTGAATATATAGATAGTACTACATTTCATTGCTCTAAGATGCACATTCACATTTTAATACCTCTGATATCGACATATTACAACTGATCACAACTTACAACTATAACTGACAGTGTCTTCTTTAGTAGCAGTACAAAAAATAGTGGTAAGGCTCAGTTGGTTAAGAGCTCGCTCAAGAGCTTGAGCTCTGAGCAACAACGGTTCGATTCCCGGCCTGAGCTGAGCAGCCACTGAACCGCCAACAGGTGGCAGGATGGCTCAGCTTAAAAAAAAAGAAAAAATAGTGGTAAGCTTTAAAATCAGTGGCACCTTAGATTTAATGAAATGTGGTATTTGGAATCCCTAGTCAATTTTCTATCAGGGCACTAAGCAAAGAAAATACTGCCTACCTACTCTGACTAAGAGTAGGTAAACTAAGGGCCGGCCGACTGGCTCAGTTAGTTAAAAGCTCGCTCAAGAGTGTGAGCTCTGAGCAACAGCAGTTCGATTCCTGGCCCAAGCTGAGCGGCTGCTGAGCTGCCAACAGGTGGCAGGATGGCTCGGCTAAAAAAAAAAAAACGAGTAGGTAAACTACAATATGTATGTGTATATTCATGGACACAAAATCTTTAAAATATTACAAAAAAAGTGGTAGTGGAATTTATTGGGTTGTCGGAAAAGTCATGACGTATATTTTTCTGTGTTTTTCATTGCAAAAATGCGTCATGACTTTTCCAAGAACCCAATAGGATGGCTTAATTCATTTACAATTTTCTTTGGTTGTATGTTTTTTATAATTAACATGTGTTTTTTAATCAGAAAAATGCAATTTTTATTTTGAAGAAAAACTAGACAGGGTGTGCTGTCACTGCTATGGCTGTTTATATATTCCAGTAACATTTAATAGTTCATGGAGCATTTCTTTACGATTAGTACAGATCATTCAACGTTTAATTCACTATTTCAAACTGGTAAAGATCAGCATGTAAAACTATACTAACATCAATGTTACTGATAATGCAAGCAATTTTAAATTTCCATTTTATAACTATCAAATTAAGTTGCCTGGTTTTTGTTTTGAGGTTTTGGGGTTTTTTAAGATTTTATTGGGGAATTGGGGGAGGGGAACAGTGTTGGGGAATTGGGGAAGGGGACCAGCCAACTTGTTGTTCTTCAATCTTAGTTGCGGGTGGGTGTAGCCCACCATTGAAC